GAGTACCATGTCGACTCTGGCACTACCATCTCACTTACTTGTTACGTAGAGCAGGTCAGTAATTCTACACGCAAAAGGCATTTAGTGTTAATTAAATATATGCAAACATTCTCGAACTAATATAACAAATACCAGTGTTTAAGTAAGTGTTAGCTTTTAACTCATATACGGCTTACACTTATTCATTGCATTAAAATGGAATACTGACGGAAATTTTTCGATGTCAGACTAAACTTTCCTACACATCACCGTTTGCAAATAAAGGTAAACATCAGAAACAAGGAACAAATTGCCCGAAACAGAATTTCAATATTAGATGACTTAAACGTTATTTTTATGTTTCAGTGTGTCGTAAAAATTGAGAGAAATGACAAATTTGAAGATAAATATGAAGTCACCATGAATGTACAGAGAGGTTTTTTCTTGTGTAGGCTGGTAAATTGTTGTCAGTTCTTGTGAGACGCTGGTCAACACTAGATTTTTTTAGTCCTTGAAATTCTCGGTGTTTGATTGTATTTGTTATCTAAAGCCTCGAGTCTCTTTCTTTATAACAAACATTGCTGACTCAACAGACTTCGAACTCTAATTCATTACTATTGCTCATACGGCTCCAAATAATTTGGGTTCTTGCCAAAACTGCACGAAAACTTCTAGTTTAGACCAGCGTTATTGATAAGAAACTACAAATCTCTACAGAAAATCCATGGTTTTGTGATCTACAGAGTCGCGCGGTGCCATTGTACATTTTCTGGTACCACAAATCGCGCTTTATGAACGGGTACCTGACACTCGAAATTTTCATAAATAACTGAAGAAATTGCTTATTTTTCTTGAATTCCAGAGTCGCGTGGTGCCGTTGTGCATTTTCTGGTACCACAACTCGCGCATTATTACCAACGGAGACCTGACACTCGAAATTTTCATGAATAACTAAATAAAATGATTATTTTCTTGAATTCCAGAGTCGCGTGGCACCGTTGTACATTTTCTGGTACCACAACTCGCGCATGATCAACTACGACCAGGAGCGCGGTGGGGTGGTCGTTCACATGGAAACGGAGCCTCGCGTCATGTCGCGTCTCACCATCGCCGACGCCCGACCCTCCGACTCAGGCAACTACACATGCGACGCAGACAACACGCTGGCTGATAGTATCTCTGTCTATATCACTGCAGGTGGGCGTGAACTGTGACAAAAGCATTTACTTTTAAAGTATTATTATGTGAAGGTTATCTGAAACTTGTCGACTTCTCACGCATTGAAGCAAATTTGAGCAATTTTAGCCGTGGCAATATAGATCTGACTAGTATGAAGTGTAAGTTTGACCTGTGAGAAGCGCGCGAAATGAGTATAAATAAGTATTTCTAGTCGCGCACAAGCAAAATATGATAAATTTCTTATAATGAACTAGGCCAATGTTGTTGTTAACTGTTAACATTAATAATTGCGACTGCGCATGATATACTATATAACATAGGAGATCCAAATAAACATAGCGTTTTACAGGTCTCACCTGTTGATAGTGAGAGGACGTGATCTATCTATTGATGAAATTCTTGTGAAAATAAATCACGGTATCCAAAGAATAAGACGATTGAAGTAAGGCAGTACTTTGCCGTTACACAGGCATAGGCCCAATAAAGAATAATAATTATCGGAACTCATAAATACACAGTAAAAAATTGAAACTGTTTTCTATTTGTAAAACCATTCCTGCTGTCCCGCAAACTTGTCATAATACGACATATTGAAATAAACCTACAATTTTTAACACATATTCACTCCTCAGAATCGATTAACTGGCACAAATTTTAGATCATACATGCGCTATAAGTTCGAAAAGAACGCCCACTAAAATTTTGCGAAGTTTTAAAAGGTTTTGAGGACAAAAAATAAATTCGTAAACATTCTGTCCACGTATTACAGCATTGCGTGTTGCTTATACGTTCAAAATGAACGTTCGCATGTTTTTCTAGCCATGAAATTCTTAAGTTAAGTCAAACTTTGATGTCAGCTTGAAACTTGAATTGCTGTCATGGTACACTTTGATCGAGTTTTGCACTCATTTGAGGTCTTTGAAAAAAAATAAAAAATCCGTAAAGAAGAGCTACCGGTAATTGCGCTGTGCAGGACCAGAAGCAACGGTTAACATTTTCTGCCTCGTCGTTTGATATTCACAACTCAATGTGAGGCGACAAATGGTCTAAAAATTGCAAACCGGCGATTTGACGATGCTTTATCTATAGATAAAAATGTTGGCAAAAAGTACAAATAATTTATTTCGATTAAAACCAGGTTTAGCATTCGCCTAAAAAATCAATATCTGTAAATTATTTCATGCAACCGCATGTGAAAAATTATATATTTATATTAAAGAATATGGAGGTAAAACGGTAAGTTGGTGATGACTGAAATTTTTTTCTGAATAAATGACAACTTTTATAGCCAAAGAAGACACTGTTACAATCAACTAAGCTCAAACAACGCACAGTTTAACTCACACAACAGTTCACACGAAGTGCTCACTGTGATTCACTTTTTAACGTGTCTAAAATTCCACCAGACATCGATGAACTGTACACTTACTTTTCGCATTATTGCTGGTATGAAAATGACAATCGATAAAATCTATAACATAAAACTAAATTTATTCAATCAATTATATTCCAATAGTACCCGATAGATCATTCTCATTAGAGCCAAATATGTCATGTATCAAAGTTTATGGATATCTTCTCCCAGAATCATACGCTTTCATTTCGATAAATTGTGAACACATTATACTTCCAGGCAGCAAAATCGCTGCGCTGCATCCTCGTGACATCGATGTCGCGGCTCCGCTGTACATCTGTCGCTTCCTCGTGCTGGTCTTGACAGCCCTGCCGCTGATGCTCCAACACTTCCTCGAATTTTGTTTCGGGTTCCAGCATTTGAAATTCAAAGGCAAAAACCTGGAGCGGTGCAACTATTGTCAGCGTACAGATTTTTCCGCAGAAAGAACATCTATTTACGGATCAGGAGGTGATCGCCGCCTTGGAAAGAATAATCCAACACACGTTGAGGACACCGCGACTTCAACGTGACATTAAACGCAGTGCTATCCTTCATGGAGATATCGGCTTACCATTAACATTGAAGTTGGGGCTCCGGGTAAACCTGGTGCTGAGTACTTCAGTGAAAATACCAGCCAATTCAATATTATCATTTGTGGGATAGACGAGAGAGGTATTCAAAGTGTTGGAACTTCTTAATAATAGAATTAACCGAACAATCAACAATCATATTGAAGGACTGAATAAATTTAACATTAAAATCTTTATTATTCGGCCGTCAATATATTAAATTTTGTGTAAATATTTATTATTTTTTACTGAGTTAGCGTTCAATAAAACGTCTCGGCGTCAACAAGGAAACAATTAGATTTTACGATAAGTCAGCAAGTTACAGTGCATAACCAGAAAATCGTTGTAAAAAATCTTTTTTTCGAGTTACGTATTCAGTGGAGTTAGTTTGCTGTAAAAATTTGTGTACAAATGTGAATTTATCTATTAAGAGCGCGATGATAAATAATACTGCTAAGTTATGAAATGGTCATTGAGTAAATACCCACGCTTCGGATTTATAACTCAACTTGTCTCTCCTTGCTTCTCTCGCTTAATCCTGGCTAAATCTAACGATCAAATCGAATGCAGGTGCTGTGAGTCGGTCATTCATATATATTGTCGGTCTATATTTTATATATTGTCTGTCATTCATATTTTTCGCTCGGACCAAGTTACCTATTTACTCACTATTTTTCAATAACGTTCACATCTCATTGCAAAAAAAAACGACTTAATAAACTACTCATCGGGAATTTTTATGCGCATTTGCAATATAAGCAATGTTGTCCGTGATTGAGCGCTATTTGTACAATGATTTGTGGGAAGCTGCAATAAACTGCATACAGGAAGCTTGCTTTCTGTACAGTGTATACTGTTAATTTCTCTATGTTAGTGCTGTGTACTCGTCAATAACACATGTGAATGTCACAATTTTCATCAGTAATTTCCTGGAAATTCTGATGCGTCAGGATGTGAATTTAAAAGTGTCATCAAAAGGGCATTCGTGGAGGAGCAAACGGTGTTTTCCGCCAGATATTTCACCGTGTCAACGAATTTTTCAAAACATCCTAACGTAATTTGCCATGCAGTCTCGTCATTTATTATACCGTACTCAATCCATTTAGAGCCAAAAGAGCCTATACTGTATTTCCTTATTATTAAATTATATAACGGGGTTTCATGGTTTTAATACCTGTAAAAAATCATGGTTTTAAAACAATGAAAAACCGTTATATAATTTGAGAGTAGTATTTCACGCATGTAGAATTTTATTAGTAATGACTGATCTTTGTTTTTGAAAACAGGATTCTTGTACGAGACGAAATATTCATCTAATACTCCTTCAAATCCACATTCAAGACATTCAATTACAATTGCTTTACCTTGTGTATCTGTTTTCATATAACCCCAAACTCCATATAATCTATAAATGTCGAAATTTCATTTTTCATTTGTCAAAAATCAAAACTTCACTGTTATGAGCAATAGAAGAACAAAGAATTTATATAAAATTCGATATAAAAGATTTCTGCACCGAAATTAAGAACAGCAGCATGGAAATTATTCGGTCACTTGATCAAAAGATTTGTGAGCAAGAGCAGAATCTGTCGTTGTTATAGCCCGTTTCCCTTTCTTCTTAATGCAGTAGATAAACTGATAACTCAGCCAGAATGATGAAAATTAGGCTCTTTAATAACCATCAACTTAATCCGTTGTTACTCGTGAAGGTCATTGATTTAAAAATCTGGTTATCTTTGATTTCATTAATATTTCTCTTCTCGAATCAGTATCAATTATTAATTAACGTCTGTTCATACATACACTTGATGTAAAAGTCCCATTTTAAGCCAGTTTTTATATATTAGGTAACTCTTATGTTTTAGACTTTTGAATCAAATGAAAGATTTTGAAAATTAAAATTATATTTCTTTAATCCAACCCTAACCTAATGGTTCGCAATGCCTCATAATTCTACTGAAATTAAATTCATGACTCAGGTAATGTTCACATTTGAAAAATATGGAGGATACGCGGTCTGAGATCTCCTAAATATTTTCATCAAAGGCTTAAAATGAAAGGCTTAAGGACTCAAACGCACAAGCCCTAAAACAAACGAATATTTATATGCGTGAATATGAATAATGATTATGCTTAGTAGCAAAAAATGCATCAAAAACGATTCCAATATTTGCTGTGCAGGTGTATAGTTTTTGATCTGATTCAAATATTCCCATAGGATTAATCTGGCGTAATTTACGTGATAATTTATGCGAAAGCAAGGTGATTTGAATACCAATTTCATTCGTAAGACGAGACATAATAGAAGCTGTCACTATCGAAGGCATTTCACAAATTATCCCGCATGAAGAACGCCTAAATTATAAGTTCAGTTCGTGAGAGTCAATTTATGCAGATGCTGAGATCCTAGTTAAGCCCGCGTATATCCAGTCGAGCATTCACGATATGTAAATCAGTCAGATTCGGAATTGGCAAAGTGCTAATTCGATGCTTATTACCCAGCTGCCATTTCCTGGTAATATCTCGTGTCGAATTAACCCAGAGCCTAAGCTGGTGATAGTTTCTTATAAACAAGTAAGAAGTCTTACTTATATTTAGTTTACTTTTCGGCTGTCTATATATACCGGCAAATCTTGCGTGTCTCATCAAATTTCGTGTTTCAACTTGGAGCACATTTTATAAGTAAGTTCAAGTAGAAAATATATTATCAATTTTAAGAAAGAGCAGCAGCGTTTAGATCATCAACAAACATTTCATACGAATGCAGGAAGTTGAGGATATTGTTATGATGAACTTAACAGTGAAATTTAACGTAACAGTATTGATGACGAAGTGCTATATGAAGCAAGTTATAGTATTAAATGCTATAGAAAAATGCAACTTGGATATAGAAAAATGCACCTTGGAGAAGATACAGCGGCGCCTCGACACTTGGTCGCAATCTCATCTTCCTTGGAACGCCGGCGCTGCGTCTGAGTGTTCTAACTAATCAATATTGCCTCATTGGCTGCACCTCTTAACAATATTTTTATGTAATTCTAAAAAACGAGATGTAAGGAAATTATGATTTCATGAAATGATCAGCAGATCACGTATTTGTTATTTCGATTTTATTATTATTTTTCTGTTCCTGTTGAATTGAGTTGTTCTACAAAAATGTTTAAACCATCATGTTAATATATGTGAAAATGATTTCGCAGATTTTGAGCGATGGCACATTTGCAGTTAATGGCAAGGATAAACGAATGTATTTCTTCCGCGTTAATTAGTCGAAGTTTTCTAACCCTTGCTGACGTAGCAAATATAACTTGACGGCAAAGCGTCTCAATTAAAAGTTAGGTCGTAATTAGCCGTTCAAACAAAGTATATACTCGAGAAGTCGCGTGCCTTCCAAAAGCTGCTCGATATTTCTCGCTTCTTAAAGGCCCACAAAGTTCAAAAAGATAGTCAGTCACCGTCCTTGAAACCAGTCTGTTCATGCGAACTTCAGACCAAGTCTTACCCCTGTTGTTCGATTCTTATGTATGTGGGCAAATTAATGCCACTCTACCGCCGGACATGAGTAACCGAAGCAATATTGTCACAAGCCCACTTCTCAAAAAGGATAAGATCTAGTGAGCGCAAAATGACTTGCACTGATGGTTGCCGCCACGTACGACAACTTTAAAATGTTCTCAGTTGCCGACAAACGTCCTCAAGTTGCTACACTCAATACATACTACTAATTTAATGCGAAAGTATTATTCCAGAAGAGTGACAATTTATAGGTAGAGGGTACAGATTTTGAATTCGAGCACAAACAGCATAGCCGCCTATTCACGGAAAAAAACAATTTAGTTGCTAGCTTCTATACTTCCCTTACCTGTGTCCGTACACTAACAATATTTTTTTGCAGTCTAGAAGCATCATGCAAGCTATGTTCCTAATTGAAAAAATATATATATTTTTAATATAGTTCCTGCGAGTATACGTTCTCAGTTGAACTCATGCGCATGCAAATAATTTTAAAGCTGTTGGATATGCCTGGAACTTTTCCCATGACGGTTTTGCTGATTATGCTGAATTTGAAAATTTGCTGAATTTTCAATATGCTGAATTTAGAATAAATACGGATTATTTTAATATAATACGTACGAAATAAATATCTGCAGATTTTATATCCTGGGTCATCGTGGCAGTAGCACGTTAGGATAGAAAACTTTGATAATTGAAAAGAGTTTTCACGCCTTGATGCATTCATGATACGAAATTGTGTTAATGAAATATTTTATTTAGAATATTATATACTATGCTGCTGAATGAAATAACTAGAAATAATGATACGCCTTCCTTCTTTATTCGCTGCTTGTAACCTTTCAAACATTTTCATTATATTAGGATATAAAAATATTTTCAGCATGTTAGGAAATAAAATCCAACTCGCTTATTTCCGTCTTGCAATTCTGCAATCAATTCTTTTCATAGCATAAAAAATTTCGCAGCGAGAACTTATCAAAACTTAAATAATTTGAAATGTTGGTTGGCTAAGAAAAGCCCAGAACAAACTCCAGTCTCTAGCGAGCGTTTCACACGCAATTTAATGAGCCGAAAATGACCGAAAGCCTTCTACTGCCTGAAGGCCACTACCAGAATAAGACAGGCAGTAAATTCCCTTACCAATTTTTCTCGTTTTTACCAGTCTTGCAACTTTTATGAGCCATTCCTTGATCTATTCTCTCTTTCTTTGGGTAATTGACTTGTCCCAAGGGTGCCACAAAAGTGCCGCCATGCGCGTTTTTCTGCAGCCTTTTTCTGCGACTCTTTTGAGCCTACGTATTGCGCTTGAGTTTGTGTTCATACGCTTCACACGCTTGTTGTTTCATGAAAACTGCAATTATTTTATTGAAATAACTCAAGGTTTCGTCAAATTTCAATGACACGTAACTTTATTCTGAAATATCCTTGCTTCTTACTTATTTTATATTATCACTTATCTCGGACGTGTTTATATAGATGCGCATTTTTTACTTTCTTCAAGAAAAGCATCAAATTTTTTCAAGAAAAAAAACATCCAAAAACCTCCCCTTTTCACTTTGAATCAGATTTCTGTAGCTGTATAAATTGAAATTTAAAGGAAAGGCATGAGCCAAATTATGCCAATGAAAAACGTTCACGTTTCAAAAAATCAATGTTGGAAAAAATCATCGAGAGCTTAATCCACCGAAAAACTTTTATTACACGGAAATAACATATGAAATTCGATTCAATGACTTCGTACGTGAAAATTTACACTGAAAAGAAAAAGGATCTCTTCTGTTTGATACTTTAAATTCGAAGAATGCGTTAAAATTTTCACCCCCATAATTCGCTATACTCTCTTGTTCTAGTATATTCCAAATTGAGGATAATCATGCATGGAAATACTAAAAAAAATGAAATTTTCAACCGATGCAAGATATTTCCTCTGAGGCTCAAAATAAAATAGGGTAACATAGGGCAGCGCGCCCAGTGCGGGTCACGGGCCCATAGCGGGTTTCTCGCTAAGTATGGCAGATATTGGTCCGTGTTCTCTACCGCCGGTCGACAGTTTCACTGGGATGAAGTGTACGGATTTACGTTTTGCTAAGTGTTTGCGTTATTAAGTTCTTTGCGAATAACTGTTTTAGTCCAGATAAAAATTTTTTTGCTGCTACATAAAATTTTTTTTCGACTACTGTAGATGAAGCTTTTGAAATTACTGTGAATTATATTTTCAAAGTAATATTTATAGGGATAATTTGAGATCAAGTTTGGACTATTAGCTTTTAAAATAAAATGTTGACACAATATAAATTGAAACTATACCTAGTGAGGGCAACGGGCCAACGCTTGTCGCGGGGCAGAGCGCCCATGGTGAAGTCTTGTGTTATACATCATTAAATTTGTCTCAATGACCTTTTCAAACTATGACTAGCTTTTTGAATTACAAATTACACTTCATATTGCATGATTTTCTGATTTGCCGCCTCAAGGCAGCAGGTTTAGTTTCTAGTTATGCGTATTTATGACCTATTCGAAGAATGCGTTAAAATTTTCACCCCCATAATTCGCTATACTCTCTTGTTCTAGTATATTCCAAATTGAGGATAATCATGCATGGAAATACTAAAAAAAATGAAATTTTCAACCGATGCAAGATATTTCCTCTGAGGCTCAAAATAAAATATAACTCGTTGATATTTCCAAAGTTTCGTTTAAGTATTTTTTAATTATTATACTAGAATCAAGTCAAGTTTCTTGAAAAAATTAGCAGAATTGCGGCTGAAATTAAATGAAAGTTCCCTGTCTGATAAAATGACTACTGTTAACTGTAATAAATACATTAAAGAGCGGGGAAAAAACAAAAGATATCAATATAATATCGGCTGACGTAAACATGAAAACATTTCGGCAAAAGTCGGTCAAATAGTCCAGTAGAACAACAAATTAGAGGAAGCCTTTGTTGTTCACAATAATGAAAACTATTCGCTTATTATAATTTGCTGTCACTAGCGGAATGAACATAATTTTTAACAAGATCAAAGGCTGCTTCACAAAGATCTTCTCCATTATCCCTACC